GTGTACAAGAGCATTCTTCCACAGCAAGAGAATGAATTGATAATTGTGGAAGCAAAAGAAAATGAGTCACCATTGTTCAGACATGGGAAGATGTGTTAGATTTCTGTAAGTAATCTAAATGCCTGAGATACAAAGAACCTTACAAAGAGGAGAGGTTTGTTTTGGCTCTGTTTCAGAGGCTCCAGATCGTTCTTGATTACTCTGCTCCTTCCCAGCCTGTGGAAAGGTGGAATAGGATGATGGGGAGCAGGTGGTGGGACACTGTTACTCAGCTAATGATGGGTGGGAAGCAGAAGAGCAAAGCTGGAAGAGAGCCAACTTCCAACACCATTCCAGGACCCATTGCCAAGAGCTTAACTTTCTCTCCTTATGAACAAGCTCCACCATCTCCCAGTAACCCTGTGCTGAGAACTGGGCTGTGCCACATGCATGCTGTGAGGATGAAATCATTCAGATCAAACGACAGCAAGAGGGACAACTGATGCTGAGCTTTGCTCTGTGAAGTAGGATGTGTCAGTGGTCCAGACGCAGGTGTTGCTTCACTAAAGCTCCACTAAGTTTTGTAAGAGGAAAAAAATGCATATCAAAGAAAAAATTAACAATAATTCAAAAGTAATTTAATTTTAATCTGATATTTATCTTCATTAATTGGATGGCCTTCAATTTTATAAGTCTTTTTTAAGTTTTCCTGGTTTTGTGTTTTGGCTGTATTACAGGATAGAATAGGTAAAATAAACACGTGAATGTCTGCCTACACATATTGTGTCTCAAATTCTGCTAGCGACCGGCACCCAATGTTACAAGCTCAACAACTTGATACTCATCACTGCAAATGTTCTCTAGTTCCTTTCCCTGTACTTAAAACATAATTTCACTACAATATAATCCCATAATTTCCCCTTCCCTTTCATCCGGTAAGCTCTCCTATATACCTACTTTGCTCTCTTTCAAATTCATGGCTCCTTTTCTTGTATCATTGGTGTATGTGTATTGTGTCTGTGTGTGTGCCTAACTTTAATACGATATAGTCAGTCCGTATAATGTTACTTATATTTATGTTTTCAGAACTGAGCATTTATTATTGAATAATCAGTTGGCATGTTCTTCTCTAGGAAGATTCTCCTGCTTCTAGCATTCCTTTAGTTTTTCACCTAGGGCTTTTGATAAGATGTTGTGAGCACTCCCCATTCAAAGTTAACCTGTCTATGGGTGACTTCCTACTTCAGGTCATGTTTAGAATCTGTGTTGGGGAGACGTCATGAGTGTAACCCTTCTGACTTTTCTAGAGTAGACACAGCCTCTCAACAAACTTCCTGTTCCTCGGCTTCCTGCCATCTTTCTGCCCCTTCATCCTCAATGATCCCTGAGCTAGGTGCAAGAATTGTATTGTCAATTTATGATGTGTTGGTGTCGGATTCAAGCTTATTTGCAAGCTCACTCCATTGGCTTATAAACGTCAAAGATAGCTGAGATGTAGCTAAGCATCACTAGGCAAAACTAAATGCAGTGTGAAGCTAAATAGTTTAGTTGGATCCAGGAGCATTTTAAATTTACTTGAACATCGTGTAGCCCCTTACTATCTGATAAAGCAAAGTGACCAGAAATTCCTTGCCTAGTATTTCCAAGAGAAATTAAACCCCTCAATTCTGCAGATGAACTCGGGTCTTGATGTGACTAGCCTTGGGATTCTTACCTCCACACCCCTCAACTCCAACATTTTCTAATCAGGGTAGAATAAAGTTGAGCCATAGAACAGAACTTGAATATTACTGCCATTGGTTTCCGCTGTTGTTGAAATACTTTCACAGATCTGCTACTTGGTACAATTAACAAGAAAGTTAACAATATTCCATTTGTGCTCTAATTTGGCTCAGTCGAACACCTTTCTAATTTAAATTCTACTGCCCTGGTGTGTCTAGAAAACATAACCTCCTGAGCTACATCATTATCATTACTATATTCATAATGTTTATTGTGAAGCTATGTGTGGAATACACATTGGTCTCTGCTGCGGAATTGAAATGTGAAGCAGACCCACTTCAGGTACAAAGTGACGGTCACCTACCACTCAGCGGTAGCCATCTGTATCTACTCTGGGCTACACATGCCCAGCAATGACTCCCCGTGAGGCCAGACACCATGGTATACATCTCTGATTGCTCGCTGACCTTTAGGACATAGTTGTCCGCAGTTGCTTTATCGGTCTGTCCTGTGAAAAGACAATAAACAGGGTTATGGAAAAATGGTGTGGGTGGTGCAAGGACTTGGGCTGCAGTGCCCATGGCAATCTCAAGAAGTTCTCCCTCTGGAGTTAAAGGGGCAGGCTAAGATCCGGAAGTTTCTTTAGCACATTCCAAAACCGTTTGACTTCGCTACTGGGGAGGTTCTGTATTGAAAGTAGCAGAATATAGGGAAAGGCACAGTTTAAAAGAAAGTACCTTGTCGATTATTCGGAAAATCAAAATGAAAACAACTCTTCTTCAAACTATTTATTTTTTATTGCTATAACTGAGTATGTAAGGATTTTCTGTCTAGTTTATCTTGGCCAAATAGAATAAGTACTAGGTTGAATGTTTAAGGAGAAGCTTTTCTTGTTACAACTGGGAGACAAAGGAAGATTCCTCCTGAAGTAAGGCAGACCTGATTGAGCCCAAGTTCTGTAACTTATGATCAGTATAATCTTTGAAGATATCTTGTCTTCTCAAATTCTTAGTTTGTTAAATATTAAATAAAAACGCAAACAATGAGTGTGTGTTCACCTCTGAGTCAACAGCACTGAAGACCATGAGTATAAAAAGTTGACATCCAGGCATGTAAGTTTATTTAAATAAATTATCATTCCAAATGTAAGACAAAACTAGAAAAGTTTGCCCCCAATCTTGAGTATATGTTATAGGAGGGAAAGTAACCTGGGTACACTACTTCCGTTCAATGAACGCCAGCCTCCCACACGTTACCTCCCTCATTCACTGACCAAGCACCTCTGGGCTCACTTCCTCAGGCATCACTGATCTTTTATTTGCTGTTGCTTTGGAGGTGGGGATTCTCTCCATTATCTTCTTTGGCACTGAGCTCTTACACACCTATAATGTAACTTAGATTTTGTCTTCTTCTCTCTTCACCGTTTTATAAGCAACAATAAAATTCCCTGACCAGAGGCATTTTGTTTTGAGTCTGTAGCAGTGTGTCTTATCAGATCTTAGTTTGCCCTGATGTGATGGCCTCCACCTGCAAAGGGTGGAGAAAAGTACTGTGATAATACAGGAGAGGTAGAGTGAGTTCCCAACCTCTTCTATTTTTTTTCCAATTTTCAAAGCCTTTATTTGATATAGAGTTAGATCTTGTCATTTATCTCTAAATAACCAATGTCTATAGCTGCATGATTACAGAGATTGGCAGAATATACATGATACCGTGGCAACTAAGTCACTATTCGACAGATTGTCACTATCTAAATATCTACCATCGGTTTTTGTCTATCTACAATTTATTTATATATCATCTATCTGTAATCTATTTATCACCTATTTATCATATTTCTGTCACATCTAGTTTTCTGTCATGTAACTATTTATCATCTACCAATCTTCTATTTATAATGTCTATGCATCCATTATGTATCTATCACCTGTATTGTATCTATCATATCTATATCTATATCTATCTATCTATCTACCATTATCTATCATCTATCTATCATTATGTATCTATCTATCACATCTATCTACCTATCCATCATTATCTATCTATCTATGTATCTATCTATCTATCATTATCTATTTATCTATGGATTCTATCTATCACATCTATCTACCTATCCCTCATTATCTATCTGTATGTATGTATGTATGTATCTATCTATCTATCTATCTATCTATCTATCTATCTATCTATTTATCTACCTACCTATCCATCATTGTCTATTTAGCTATCTATCTATCTATCTATCATCAATCACTTGTGTGCAAGTATCCATGGCAAAATGTCTGCTTACTTTATTACCAAGCGTCTTCAAAGAGCACATACTAAGATGGATTAAGTTCCTGTGACTGTGCCTTCTCCATCTGGATGCCAAGTTGGTACCACACTGAATAACAGTTCTCCCCTCAGGGCATGGCAGGCCACTTTCTGACCACTTGGCAGCATAAGGCACTCCACAGGGGTTACTGTATTCTTCCCAGATCTTGTGAAAACTATACCTGTGTCCCCAGGAAAACTCTGACTTTCTACGATTGTCCCTGTATTTTTAGAGCAAGCCTCTAGAAATGAGGCAAGAACCATGCTGGGACTGACGTAGGGTCAACCTGTCTTCTATGGAAGGGTTTCATAGATGAAAGGCAACTCTGAGGACAGGACTCGTGTACCCTGGTCTTCTGCAGTGTCTTTCCTGTGACTTCTTTGACAAATAGACCCCAACATCTTCTTAAGGACTTCAAGAGACAGGGTGTGATGGGCAGTTCCTCCTTCCCCTCCTTGATCTATACTCTGAGTAGCAATGTAGCAATGTCAGGAGAAAGGATTAAGAAGAATCGGATTTTGGTCCCATGACCTTTCATGTTTCCTTCTCTAGCAGTGCCAGGATGTAAGTCTGATGTAAGGCTCAAATAAAACAGTTAATGGGTACAAGCGTTTCCACTTCAGATTGGCGATATAGTTTTTAAACTTTCAATGGTTACCTTAAATGTGATGTATTATGGTGCTTTATTAGTAACTAACTGCTGAGTGAATGAATGAATGAACGAATGATTCATTGTTCCCACCCACCCCATCAACGTTCAGTGGGGTAGAAAAGTCTCCATAAACTTAGCACTGACCCTTGGTCCCTGAAGTCGGGATAGGAATACAAGCACATACACTTTGTCAGTGTAAAATCAGGCCAACGATCCACTTTGAGCATTTGGCATAGCGCCCATCCCCTGGGCATTGCTAGAGACACCAGAGATTCAGAGTGACAGTGAGGGTATCGTCAACCACTGACCTTCCCCTCTAATCTCTTCCAGGAACTTCTACTACATCACCATGTTGCGGGACCCTGTGTCGCGTTACCTGAGCGAGTGGAAACACGTCCAGAGAGGGGCCACATGGAAAACCTCTCTCCATATGTGTGATGGAAGGAGCCCCACCCCGGATGAGCTGCCTACCTGCTACCCAGGGGATGACTGGTCTGGGGTCAGCTTGCGGGAGTTCATGGATTGCAGCTACAATTTAGCCAACAACCGGCAGGTGCGCATGCTCGCTGACCTCAGCCTGGTGGGCTGCTACAACTTGACTTTCATGAACGAGAGCGAGCGAAGTACCATCCTGCTGCAGAGCGCAAAGAACAACCTGAAGAACATGGCCTTCTTCGGGCTCACTGAATTCCAAAGGAAGACACAGTTTCTCTTTGAGAGGACATTCAATCTGAAGTTCATCTCCCCTTTCACACAGTTCAACATCACACGGGCTTCCAATGTGGACATCAACGAGGGAGCCCGTCAGCATATCGAGGAGTTGAACTTCCTGGACATGCAGCTCTATGAATATGCAAAAGATCTCTTCCAGCAACGCTACCATCACACCAAACAGCTAGAACACCAGAGGGACCGCCAAAAGCGGCGTGAGGAGCGCAGGCTGCAGCGAGAACACGGAGCGCATCGGTGGCCCAAAGAGGATGGGGCCACAGAGGGGACGGTCACTGAGGACTACAACAGCCAGGTGGTTAGATGGTGACCCTCTGCCTGCTCCTTTTTCATGACGGGGAGACAAGCAGGCACCTTGTCCTTCTGTTAGATTCCATTGAAGAAACCGGGTCATGCTGAGGACCCCTGGCTATGTGTGACTTAATTCGGATGTCTGCTTCCTCTTCTTCTTCTTCAATCCAACTGGAAACTTGCCATCTTGTTTATTATTGTTTTTCTTTTTCTAGACTTTTTCTGATCACTGATATATTTGGGGTGGAAATGTATCCAAAAGACCACTTTAAGTTGTCAGAAGCGAGGCCTCAGAAATGAGACAGTGTGTAGGATCTTTGTCAGTCACATGGGTCATTTGGGAATCTGGAACCCACAGTAGTACACAGGAAAACCAAAGTCATGGCTTGGATTCTCTTCCGAATGCATCATGATGCACCCAATAGAACACTGCTCTGTTTAGAGATAGAAAGACGCTCTCCCCTTAAATGACCCTTCTCATTCAGTGTTGAATTTGGGAGCTGTTAAGACAAGGGTTAAATCATGAATGATGTGGTTTGTCTCTGCAGACGTTTTTAAACAAAATTACTATATTACTGACCACAGCTAGGGACTCCTAGCCTACAAACTCCAACATCAGAGCCCTAAACCCTCGGTCAACTCTCTCTTTTAGGGGATAGGGAAAGAACAGAATGTTGGCTTGGTTATGGCCCTGAGAAATAAACACTGGTAGGACATTTTGGGGAGGGGGGGCACACTTATTTATTAATGACTAAGGAGATTGCACTTTACTGGTGTTAATCCCTCAGGCAAAGAATGAACAAAAAATTAAGAGAGTGTGGGCAAAGAAACCAGGAGAAAACCTCCATTAAACCAGCTGTAGAGCCTTAGTTACGTTGAAAGAACATCAGACTCGTGCCTTTGGGGAGCAGACACCTTCTCAGTCAAGTTCAAATTCTGCTGTTACAAAGGAAAGATGTTTTCAAAACCCTTGACTTAAACAACAGGAGCTGAAACAACGAGGACATACACTCCATTCCAAGTCAATGCTTGAGAGGCACCAGGAGACACAGCATGGTGTCCATGAGACAGTTAGCCCAGGAGTTCAGAGGGACCCTGCCCCTGACATTTCCAGTGACTTTAAACCACTCCCTTCCCATGTGATCCTTGCCTGTTCTGTGACTACAACCAGAGAACCAAATTACAGTGCACAAACTGGGCCAAAAAATAAGTCCTTTCCCTAGGTTCCTCAGTTTGGCCCTTCCCAAGCCCCAACAACAGTCTCTTCTGTGGGAAGGGATGGGAAGGAGGGAGTAGAAAGCCCTGCCTCCCTTACAGCGGAAGGTCAGAGTGGGTGGAGAGTTTTACAAGGAGCTGATAAGATCAGTCCTTTAAAGCAGCTGAAGGCCAAAAGCTCTAGTCCCAGGAATCAGGCTGCAAAGCCTCTTTCACTGATGCCCTGCATGCTTGATGTTTAAGCCAGATTTACGTCAGTCACTTCTCAGCCTTAGAAAGTCCTTTCTTGGACTGAAAGGCCACCCTCTCCCAGTGTTTGTGGGTTGTCTGCTGCAAGGGAGCCTAGTGTCTTTTGTAGATTCCCATAGAGAAGTGGCTTTGAGGTTTCTCTCGCTGTGGTTGACATCATTGGATGGCCTTCCTGTAACATGCGTGTTCTAAGGGAATCCCCACGCTGTGCTTACTATGTTATTCAGCATAATGAGGCAGACATTGCTGGTCCTCACTATCTAGTAAGAAGATGAAGCCCGCAGATGGGATGAGGCTTCCCTGGGGACTATCAGGTGGACCAAGCAGGCCAGAAAGCACAAGATCTGTATTTGCATAGTGCTTCCCACATGGGATAAATCTTTCTGCCAATCATATAAGAAGCCAGATGCTATGACTCTGAAGTATTTGCTCCTGGTCTGCAGAGGTGGCATAAAGTGACCCCACTGCCCTTTCAGTGATTCCAGTGGCCCTGAGCCCTTCTCCCTGAGGGGCAGTTCCTCCCCCACCCCCGCCCCCTCATCCCTGTCTCACTAGTGAGCTGAGAGGTGGCTGACTTCTTCATCAGCCATAGATGTTGAGTTACACACAATAGTAAATTTAAAGTGAACAATTAGCTCTGGCTTTTTAATTGGGAGAGATGAGATAGAGCTGTGTCTCCTTAGGATGATTTGCTACAGAGGAGGCAGGAAAAAGGGGAAGGGCAGGAATGGATGAGAATATATCATTTGTTAAGATTTCCTGTTCTGCCAGGAATGGAAACCAGAAAATTGTGCCTCTGCTGTCAGCTGTGGCGCACGTATACATATGTGAAACACACACCTCGGCACATTTTCAAATGGGAAACCATTTGAAAAAACTAGAAAGCAGTAGATTTATTCTTTAAACTCACTTTACATTTTTGTTAAGGAATCTACGGAGGCAGGCTCTGCTCATATCAAAAGGCTTTCTGCCACCTCACTGCTGAGTGTAGGCCGCATGGCCCTCCCTTCCCTGGAGAGCAGACAGCAGGATGATGTGAGGAGGAGAAACCACCTCTGTGTTGGCCCCAGGCCAGTGCTAAGTAAACCGGAGAGACTAGCATGGCCTTCCTTGCTCGGTTAGCTCCCTTAGGAAGCACTGCAGTTGTCCATGTCCCCAGGACACGGAGAAATGGGGTGGAGCTAATTCCCTGAAAACTGGCTGCACAGCTCCATGCTGGCTGACGCTGCAGGAAGAGATGACAGAGGCAGGCACAGGAAGCTAGGGACACCTGGCAGCTCGTCGGCCTTCAGGTCTCAAACCACATCAACTCCAGCTCCATAGAGGAAAAACAACCCCTAGGTAATTCCACTTCTTGTGGGCTCCTCCAATTCCCAGGCAGGTTCTTCTCCCTTCTCTTGTCAGTAGCAGCACAAGACAGTGGAATGGAATATATATGATGCTTGTGTCTGTGTGTGTGTCCCCATGTGTGTATGTGTATGTGTGTGTGTTTGTGTGTCTGTGTTCACATTTTGCAGAATGTATAGGGAGGGAAGTGTGTTTACATATTGTGAGGTTCCATATGTGTGATTTGTCTTTCTGCCTGTCTGGTCACACTTTTTAGTTGTGTGTTGTGTGTCGCACACATTGTTCATATCTTGGTAGGAACTAAGATAGACACTTTTTTTTTTTAAATCTCCTCCAGCTTCCTAGAAGCCTAATCTAAATACTGGAGAAAATAATTGATGATCTTACCAATCAAATTTGACAACACTTAAGGAAAATTATGAGTTACTGAAAACCTAATCAAATATTTGAACTAAAAATCTTCATTTGATCAGACCACTAACGTAATAGTTTTCGAAGTCTGGATGGAGAGGGGTCTAACCCTCTCTTATTGCTTCTTCATTCTAAGACAGAGCATCTACCTCCTGGCCAAATGTATCTGCTTTATCCACAGCCATCTTGTTTGTACTTGAGGCAGTGGAGGGAAGCCCAGGGAATTGCAGACACTACTTACGGTCATGTCCCATTGGCTGGAATCTAGATATCAGCTGCATCTAGTTGCAGAGAAGACTAGAAAATGTCTTTCTTACTCAGTGCCGGCTGTCATGATAAGTGAGGGGAGCCCTATTGTTAAAGAAATGATGGAGAATTAATACTGATAGAAAACTACCAGTCCCCAATACAAAAGGAAGTGGGGGAAAATGCCAAGTCCCTTTCAATATCAATTATTTTCTCATCAGCTTTACAAAGGATGAGATTAAAATTTACCCTGTCAGCATTTAATGCTTTTCCAAACATTTTAGCATGGTATCTCGCTTGGCCTGCCTCACACTCTTGTGCACTGGCTGGCATTTCTGCTCCCTCACGTTTGATCATTTTGAATGAAGATTCAGAGATGTTGGAAGATCCCCCTAGCTTTCGTTCATTTGTAAGGAAGTTGCCTAGAGTCCGTGGTCTCTTGGCCTCAACTTTTCCTAATACCGAGTGCTACTTGGCATCAGTATCGGGACTGGGAATTGCAAGAAGGTAAAAGCTAAATCTTTATTGATTTCTGTCCTCCTTCCCCTTGTTGTGCAGCTGCAGTGACCTAGAAAATACTATGGACAGGTGCAGTAGACTCTCAGTTCTGCCCCCAGTGAAGGGCCCTCTGACTTAAATGAAAAGTTCAGGTAGAGAGTTGTACAAAGGGAGTCTGAGAAAAGCACATGAATTCAGGGGAGACACTCAAATATCCATAGCCGGATGTCGACTCTGTTCCTTTCTCAAACTCTCCAACATGGAGACTAGGGATAAGCTCACAACTCCAGTGGGATGCACAACATTCAAGAAATTCCGAACCAGTATCTGCCTGTTGGGAAAGCTTAGGGGTGATCAATAGGACCTCTGCCTCCCTCTCTCTGCTTTTCCCCAGGTCCCTGGTATTCTATCAGCAGCAAGTTGTTAGAGTTCTTATGTTTTCTTGGTATTCGCTGAGCTCCTTTGCCCACTGCTGGAGGTTGAAACACCTTAAGCTGTAATAAGTAAGCAACTTCACCCAGTCTATCCCATCCCTTCCCAGACGTGTCACCTGGCTGTGAAGAGTGTCAAAAAGGGATCACACAGACACAGAGGACAAGAGACAAGAGAGCAGCTATAGAGGAAAGTAGGGCTCCGAGAGACAGACCACCCAGAGGAAGATGACAGTGAACATATGTGCCAGTCCATAGTGGAATATAGCAACATGGTAGAGACACAGTTTGGGTCCTTAGGATAAAAGGCAGCCCAGAAACACGTGACTTAATTCTTCTACCCACTTAGGAGAGCATAAGAGGGGGTGCACCCATGGGATAGAATCAGAGCCTTGGGGAGACTTGGGAGTCCCAGACTGACTAGGGTGGAATTAAACAGAGCTGTATTCGACTTCATCTGAAAGCCTCCAGCCTGGGTAGCGGGCTAGCCGAGGCTGCCAATGCTATCCAGGTCATGACTTCTGAGGATCACGCAGCTGCTCCTTCTCTCAACCCTTTTGGCTTCCCTTTTCATCCTGTTCTATCTCTACTGCACACTAGCCGATGTCAGTTCTGTTCTCACCATATTCACCAGGACACATCTGGGTGGATTCTCTGAAGCTGAACGAGCCCTCCAGGGCAGGTAGGGGCATTCTGAGTTTCGTTACCTCCTGGAGAGAACAGACACGGACCCATCTTCACAGTCTGTTGGCAGAACTGGCCTCCGCTGCTGAGGTGCTGAGAATCCTGAGGACTGGCCTGTCATGAACACCAGAGTGGTTGCAAGTCTCTGCACTTCTGGGCCAGGACCAGGGGTAGCCTGATGGAGTACTGAGATGCTGAATCTGCAGACACTAGCATGTGGGTGCTTCTGGAACCTGTCTTCTTCAACATCTACAGGACAGACGACCACTGTCCACTTTCAGCGACCTGAGGGCGGCTCTGTAAGAACCACATTCTGACTCACTGTGGGAACTCCTGAAAGGCCAGAGATTCTGGCCACACATCCTCAGCCCTTGCTGAGAAAACACTGTCCTGACAGGCAGTTCTGTGTGACTTAGCCATGATCACACATCTTCCATCTCCTTCTCATGCTTTCTTTGAATCATGTGACCAAGAGTTTTCTCCCAGAAATACTTTCTGGGTTTTGCTTGCATTTTGTTCTTCTTCTTTTTTTTCAATGTATCAAATCAATGTTAGAAAAATCTAAATCTTTATCTGGTGCCCCATTCTAGATATAAGATAGTTATTCAATAGATGCAGATTATTTCCTCTAGGAGGTGTTTCTTCTTCTGTTTCTGTGCAGTATGTATGAACTTGGTTATTAGGAGATTATATTGTGACATTACCAACTTTATTGCTGTTTAAAAATGATAGTTTGTAGACCTGAGGATTCCCGTGGATGTGAAGCACAATTTAATGGATAAGTTAACATATTAAACTGTTGTGATGTCAAGATTTTTTTTTCTTTCTGGTGTTTTTGTCAGACTTCGATACAAAATGAAAAAAAAAATTACCTAAGTACTTCAACAGATTTATGAAAATCAAATCCACAGGATCCGTTTAGCCAAAGTCAAGAAATTCATGCTACCAACACAAATGTGGTTATTGGATATGAAACCATAAAAGCCACAAAAGATAAGGAATATGGGGATTGAAACTGGATTCTGTGAGGTCCAGGAACTTGGCAGGACCATTACTTGATCTTTGGGGGCCATTGTTAGGTAAAATAGGAGTTATTTGAGCCCAGCACCAAGATACAAATAGAGTGAGTCTGATAATTGAGATGCTTGATGTGTCTCAACCTGACTGAGCACACCAGAGGCCATGCCTTTCCTGCCAGGATGAACTGTACCTTGATATGTCTCAACCTGACTGAGCAAGAATGCCCAGAACTTTGGTGAGGCACATCTTTAAATGTGCCTGTGAGATGCTTCTGAAGAGGATTAACTAAGATAAGATCCACCCTAAATGTGAGCATCAACATCTCATGGGCTTAGGTCCCAGGCTAAACAAAAACTGGGAAAGGAGAAAGGCAGCTGAGAACCAGCTAAACGTGTTTTCTCTGCTCCTTAGACCACCCAGATGTGTGCAAGCCTCTTTAGACAGGTAAGAGCCACACCAGAGGCCATGCCTTTCCTGCCAGGATGAACTGTACCTTTAAGTCATAGACCAAAGTAAACCCTTCCCCCTATAAGTTGCTACTTTTGTCAGAGCAATAAGAAATGTAACTATAAGAGCTAAGGGACTAATGGAAAGGTAATATATATATATATATATATATATATATATATATATATATATATAGTCTTATAGTGGTGTGGATACACTGTAACTATTAGTCAATGGGAAGGGACTAATGGGAAGATAGTATATGTGGTATGGATACACTGTAACTATTACAGCTAAGGGACTAAAATGGGAAGGTACTATATATATATACTCAGTGTGGTTGGATATTCCTGGCCCTAGAAGCCATGATCATTAAACAAAATACAAATACCAGAGGTCAATGCCTCTGTATGAGGTTTTGGTCAGAGAAACTCCAGAGACCTCAAAGGAGCTGGGGTGGGAGGGCTCTTTCCACTCTTCAAGGTTGTCCACTAGTATAAGACTGTTTGCCACCCCAAAGGCATTGGGAACTGGGGGAAAGGAGCTTAAAAATGACTGAAGTCTCATGCAAAGCTGTTTATTCGGAGCATCAGACAGTTTATACCCGAGGTTAAGAAAGGTCACCAGAGTAAAGTTCTTACGCGTTCAAGCATGCTTCCACAAAGGCTAATAAACAATAGCCAGCTGTCATGAAGAATCTGCAGTAAACTCTCTCCTGCTGCCCTACGAGAGACACAGAAGCACTTTCTTACAATACTCCCACTTTTTTTTAACTTGTCTTGTTGTCTTAGAATTCTCTCACAAGCACCCAGAATTCCCTTCACATAACTTAATTCTTGACTGTGTTCTGACAATAATAACTATTACTATGTTTCTGAAGTCACTACTTAATATTTGTGAGTACCATTAACCATGAGTAACTAAAAATCATGGAATATAAAATAGTGATAAGAGAGCTTATTACAGGGCCAAAAATAAAATTTAAAAATAATAAATTTGTTGAAAAATCTGTCAGTATAATTCTATAGAATATAAATTTGTGAACTGATAAAAACAAAATAATCTAATATAATTTATTTTACAAAAAATGTTAGTTTTATAGTTACTTTAGATAATTTGGAAAATGGAAGGTATTTAGAGTCCATAGATTATAGAGTCTAAGACTGTTTTTATCTACTTCCTTCTAGATTTTTATGTAGTAGCAATTAAAGTAAAATTTTAAATAATGTGTGTCTTAGAAAATTGGCATCATATAATTCATGCAGTGGAAATGCATATATTAACATCTTAACCACGCTGTGAAACATACATTTAGTAGATGCATGCAACTTTACCATTCTTATCTCGTAGTAATTGCCAGTTCTACTCTCCCTAATATAAGTGTTGCTAAAATGGACATGTCTACACTTACAGAACATCTGTAGGTTTGCTGTTGTTACTAAGTAGTCCACGCTGACCTAGAACTCTCACTACATTGCACAAGCGGGTCTCAAACTCCCTGGAATCCTCCTGCCTCAGCCTCATAAGCATTGCAATTGCAGACATCCATCACCATGCTGAGCTTTTCCATATTTTATGCCTTCTATAGAGAAGACAGTTGACTGCTTTGGCAGCGTGGTTTTTTGTTGTTGTTGTTGTTTGTTTGTTTTTTTTTACGCCTATAAGCAAACATTCAATACTGTCAAAAGAAAAAGGTCTATGAGGGAAAAAAAAATCCACCTTTTTTTTTTTCAAGACAGGGTTTCTCTGTGGTTTTGGAACCTGTCCTGGAACTAGCTCTTGTAGACCAGGCTGGTCTCAAAAAATCCACCCGTAAATCAAATAAAAGAATATGGATCACTCTAGAGACTCCCACTTGACCCCAGACCTAGGGAAGCATCATTCCCAAGATCGCGATTGGCTGGTAGTTCCCAGTGAGTCTCTATCAAAGCTCGGCCAGAGAGACACTTCCCACACAACCATCACACTTGGGGAGGGGTCAGGCCATGCTGAAAATGCTTCCATAACAGCAGAATTCAGGTCTTTTACCAGAAACAAGTCCAGAGTTTTATTTTCACTTCAAAATTTGAAGGAGCCGACTGATAACTCTGTTAAAAGCATCCATCCCCACCCCCTCACTGTGTGTCTTTTCCTGCCTCCTGGGCTCCCCAGCAGGTATTTTCCACAGGTTCTCCTTCACCCTGACTCTGCACTGCAATACAGTAGCCTACTCCACAGCCTCTGCCTGGGTTTTCTCTTTTGTCTAGAGCTGAGAGATGGACCTTCCTGTCTTTTGGACTCAGCTATGCTTGAGAAGTTATTTTCTTCTGTTTTCTCCTACACTTCTACTTGTTTATGGCTCAAAGAGTTTAGCTCGTTGGGTCAGATTACCGGAAAAGTATGTGCTCTTAAATTTTGATCTCTCCTTTTGTTGTTCATATTTTTTTTCCATTTCTAGGTTATAACTCTGAATTGTTTCTGAAAGTTGCTTCACCTTTTCTGTAAAAATTCCTATTCATATTTATTCCTTTTAATGGCAATTTTCTTTTACCATTTACATATGTACTAACTTTTTATTTTCTCATTTCAGATCTAAATTTTCCCCTTTATTATTAATGTACAGTGCCTGTACAAAGTGGAGACTTTCATAATGCTATTGTTTCTTGAGTATATTTTGTACCTGATATACCACTCCATCACTCACACCGGTCCTTTGAAAGCACTCATATCAGGTGTGTGTGTGTGTGTGTGTGTGTGTGTGTGTGTGTGTGTAAAATCTAGGTTCTCCATACTGGAAAAAAGAAGTATTGTCATTCTGGACCCGAGATATTTTGCATAATATCAGGCTTAACAATTCCACACACATCTCCTGCAGACGGCATTATTTCTTTCTGTTTTATGTCTCTGTAAAACTTGATTTTCTTTATCCATTCATCTATTGCTAAAAGCCAAGACTGAATCCAAGGTTGGCCAGTGTGAGTAGTTCTGCATGGATAGAGCAGGCACCTCTGCAATGTGCTGACCTACACTCCTTGGGGGGAGTCTAGAGACTGGAACAGAGAGATCATCTGCTGGCTCCTATTTAGCTTTTCTCCCCAATATCCATACTGATTTCTAGAGTAGAAGCAATGCATTTATCTTACATTTATAAATAGATTTCTCAGCTTAACATTCTCCGATGTCTTTTTTCACATTTTAAAAAAATGTAGAATTTTTTTTTTACATTTCATTGGAAATATCCATTTTAAATAATTCTTAATGATTAACCTTGTGTATTTTGCAAATTTTGTTTGCATTTTATTTTTATATTCACGTTCTATTAAAATTTAACCCAATATGTGTTGTTTGCAGCCGTTCTTTTCTTTTATTTTGAAACAAAACTGATTTTATTTTGTTACTTTTAAGCAATACATTAGGTCCAAATATTACAACCTTTACAACTTTTCATTTTTGGACTATATTGAGGTTCCTTTAGAGTATTGCGTGTGTTGTGTTCTTGTAAAGTCTTGAATCACACCTGGAAAGTGTGTCTATTGTCACATCACCTTATTAAGTTATACACAGTCACCTCAATACACACAGATAAAGTTACATAGTCCCTAGCAGTATGTTATACTTTTCTATAGCCAATCATTTGAACTCTATTGAGTATGAATGATAAGCATGCATTTAAGTGTATGTAAATCAGAGACAGATTTTCCAACTCTACTCGAGGATCAGCTAACCCAGGACAGCTTTCAGCATGCATACTTTAATCACCTGCTGATGCTCGTAACTTCTACAACGTTTATTAATTAAACTACTCAATATGAAATTAGCTTTTGTATCAGTTAACCCCATTTTGCCATAAAGTCTTCTCTTACTTTTTTATTGTTACTACCTTCGTTTTGCAGTGTTGAGAATCAGAGTCTTGCGCACACAGAGCCAATTTTCTACCACTGAACTACACTCAATTTTAGTTTTATTTTAAACATTTTCTAATATACAGTGAACATATGAGTTAAATTTTTCATATGACATGAATCTTTGTCTTTTAGTTTGAAACGTACTACATTTATCAATGTGCTTATTGATGATAATTTTGATTTCTAGATGATTGTCTTTTTATGCTTTTCTTTCTACTTATGCCTCTTTTCTGTTTTGTTTTCTGCTGTGATAGGTGATGATTTCTTTGGAATCAATGTTCAAATGTAATGTATCTGTTTATTCTTATGCAGTTTGAACATGTGTGGATATATATGCTTCCCTTTTCCAACTTCTACATGGCTATCATCTGGAATACATAGCACCTGGAAGTTCTAACTAAGCTGCGGCTTTAGAGCCATGCCAATCGTGTGGTTGTGATATATAATAATATTTTA